AAAAAAAAAAACATGAATCAGCATACGATCATTACCTAATGCTGCTGAAGTGAAGCAGAGCAATGTTAGAGGTTTTATTAGAGACACAGCTAAGCGTTTTGCAATTTGGCATAATTAAAAAAAAATGTACATTTCTTTGGTATTGAACATAAAAAAATGAGGCTTTCTTTTTGGAAGTCTCTTTTTTTTTTTTTTTTAAACCAGTCTACCGCTGTAAGCGACAGTAGACTGGTGGGTAATAAGCAAACGAATAATGCAGAAAAAAAGAGATTTGAGATGAGAAACTGTTCTTGAAATACACAGAGAGAGAAAGCTGTGTAGGAAGTGTGATTTTATTGTGGTAGAAGCCAAAAAAAGCAAAAGTAAGAGGAAATTCACAATGATGTTTATGTGAAGCGAAATGTGAAGCATAGTTTGGATCTTCTTTTGCTGCTGGTTCAGTCAATTTTGGATGGAGAGTGACACAATCTGCAGCATCAGGATCTGTGAGCTGTCAGCTTTCAGCCCCAACGGCGTGTACGTGCCATCGGGTGAGAAATGAATCGATGTCGCTTTATTCAAGGTGAAATTGATTTTAATTGGAAAATCGATTATCGAAACTCAGCCCTACTATACTATAGTCACCTCCTATACTGACTTTATTAGTGTCCGTGAGTATTTGTATGTACCTGGTTTCACATGTTACAAAGACTGACTTATAAATACACACTTTAAAAAAGGAAATATTTAATGGAAACAGATTTCAGCATAACGTTGATTGAATTTATTAGGGGACGTTAACAGAACACTCAACCCACAGAAATTCAAAGTTCATATTTCTCATTAAGATGGATTTCCCCCAGACTGTAAAGCACAATGTATATCAGTGAGGTGCAACTTAAAATGGGCCTGATTAACATATCAACAGCACTGTTACCCGCACCCTGGTATCCACATCATGCCGCATTCAGTCTGGGTTTCACACAGAGGTCAACTACAGACATATTAGTTTTGGACATAAAAATGAAATCAGACATATTTCTACAGTAATTAGCCTGAATGGGTAAAAGAAAGCAAGCATAACATAAACACTGAGGTGGCACAGCCGGTGAAAACCAAGGATCTGGAACTGACAAACTCATGCCATGTCTAGTGTACTTCACACTCAAGACAGCATAGGTCTCACACTCTGATTTGTGGCATTTTAAAAATAAAACACTGTGGCACTCCTATTTACATTTTTACACAGAAATTAAGCAAGCAGCACACTTGCTCACCAGCTTTGGAGAGGAGCAAAGGAAAATGTGGGGCGTAAGGTGAGAGTTTTGTTTTTTTCATTAACCTGAAAAAGCAAATACAATTGTAGCCATCATACTGGGGAATTTCTTTTCATCATCAGTTCACACCTTTTACACAGAGGTCAACCAGTATTTCAAAGTGGAAACAAATTCAGTCACAATCAAAGCAGGCTTAAAGTATTCATCATCACAGACCCACAGAGAAGTTGGAAAAACTAGGACTCTAATGACTAATTATCTGAGCCTTCACTGATATTTAACATGGTTAACCTATACAAAATTAGCTAGTAGTGACAAAATTTGCTGTAGTTATTTACAAGTTTTCTGCTTGGGACTTGAGCTTCCTTTCCCAAAGCTTTTGATGATCGGAAAATCCCTGTTTGCCCTTGTTGAAGGAATTAGGTCCTGCAGATGTTGGCGTTTCCCTAAAAAGGTGACAGAAGTAAAGAAATTAAAGATTTCAAAGCTGACCACAGAAGCCAAGTGCAAAATTGTAAAGTACAGTCTGTACCTCCCAATGTTCTTCATCCTCATCTTTGCTTCTGGAGGCATCTCCTCAGGTTCACTCTACATGACAAAAGAAAGTTAATATCAGCCTCTGAACATCTACTGTTCAAGCATTTTTTTGTGATCGTGACATGCCTGCATGCACAGACACTTACATCATCATCTTCGTTAAAAACAGACGCTAGGCCCAGCTTTTTTGCAGGAAGTGATGGCGCAGTCTCTTTGGGCTTCTAAAAACAGGTTGGGGGACATGACAATTAGGAAAACAAAATAAAACACCACAACTTAGCATCAAGCATCACACCTCCATGCTCAGAAATCACAATCCTTCCTTCAGCTTCTGAATTATAGCAGTGAATAAAGAAGTTTATGTAACAACACAGAAGGTCAACGTGAAACTGACCTCTGATATTTTGGATATTACCAACACCAACATGCATACGAACACATTCATAAAATGGAGAAAATAGGGATGAAATGTGTTTTGTGAGGCAACCGTCATAGTGATGGCTGATCATCCAAAACTAGTCATTTGATTCTTATGGTCTATTGACTGTTAATGACAATTTTGAAGAACTTCACTCAAGGTAATAAATTGCGATTGCAGTCACAGTGTCTTTTGGAAGCATAAACACAGCAACATGCAAATCTTGGATGAGGTACACTGGTGGCCAGATTCAAATGACATGTCTTTTTAAAACTTTTAAAAACTTCACTACTACTTTTTAAAAACTCTTTAGGACTTTTCTGAGCAGTGTGCCATGATCATTTACAATCCCATGCTCTAACTTTTATGCTATTCAGACACTGTGTACAACAATTTCATGGGTGTTACAACACCCATTATATTAATAGGGTACAGATTTTTAAATAACAGCGTTGCACAGTGTTAGTCTACAGTCTCACATACTCACCGGTGCTCCCAGTTTAATAGATATGGGGTTTGTTTTCTTCCCCAATTGACTGCTCATGCTGAAGCCTATTTTGGAGACTTTGGTTGGTGCTGGTGGGTCTGCTGAAGACTCGTCTTCATCTTCGTGGGTGAGATGCTGGGATGTGCGTTTGACTGCGGTCCCTTCTCCCCCCACAGTGCTACAAGAGACAGGCTTAGTTTTCACTCTGCCTCCCTCCTCCTGCGGCCCTGCTTGAGGCAAGACAACTCACCAAGGTGAACAACTGTTTCCTGGGCGTTATTAAATCCATCATCTTTACCTGTATGGCTAGCCATTAATGAAGCAACGAAACATAAGTACCACTCTACCATTTAATTTGGTGCTTTATCAATCCACGTGACGACTGTGTGCGTAGTAAGTCGCAACCTTATCAGAATTTGGTGTTTGAAGCACTCTACATGATGTATAAGACCAGGTAACCCCAAGCTAAGATGCCAGCGCTAACTAGCATTAGTTAGCTAATAGCACACCAGCTATTCCGGCGAGTTATGAAGCTAAAAACAAAACAGTGGACTGTAGTAAAGAGTGATGCCTTTGGCTTATCAACTGTTAATTAATAGTACATCTGACACGCACCTAAATAGGTTAACGTCAACACAATATTAACTGCTAACTTGTCATTAGCAAGCTTATCTACTTAGCATGAAGTTGTCTTAAGACACCTTCTGCTAACGTCTCTTCTTAGTTTTAATAAACAGGGGGCATATCAAGCTAACACTGACTACTTTATATTTTTCAACCATATTATACACTATAAAACAGCACACATATCACCTCTGTCGTCGGTGTTACCCCTCCTTTTACGCTCGTTATCCGCCATTTTTTTCTCCACTCAATTTCACCGCTAGTCGTCTTCTGGCGCTGTTAGCAGTACAACCCTCCCACTCTGATAATAGAAGAAGAGGAAAATGGACGCAGCAATATGACAGCGAGCTAACCTGGTAAACAGAAACTGGTAAGAATAAGGAACTGAGCGAGTTTAATCGCATAGCGTGTTATTTATAGCTTGTAGGTATTTAGGTAAAGCTACAGGTCGACTTGAGTTAATATTAAAAGTTGACCCTAATGTGAAATATTACCTGTTGTAGCTTTGCTATCCTCAGCTATGCTACGTGTTAATGTAATGCTGTGTTGGCTAACATTTATGTTACAGTTCATTAGCGCTGTAAGAACCAGTGTGTTTTATATACACGGCTGATATCTTTTAGATTACTTCCAGTAACGGTTAGTTTACATAGTTAACACAATTGATAGACTTTATGCATT